ACACACACACACACACACACACACACACACACACACACACACACACACACACACACACACACACACACACATACACACACACACACACATACAACACAACACGCTCATTACACGCACATGCGAGATTGGAACGTAGATTGTATGCGGGACCCGCTGTCATAAAAGAGCAACAGAGACGAATTTTTTATACTTGCATTAAATTACGTTCGGAACAGCATTTCGTATGTGCGTGCCGGGGTTGGGGACACCACACGCATTATCACGTGCGAACGTAAGCGTTTCCATTGTTGTAGAAGGGCTTTAAAGTGATTACGTCACCGTAAATAGTAAACATTAAAAAAAAAATTCCCATTTTTTCACAAAATATAAGTAATTCTGTTCACTTTTTATGGTTAAATTGCTGCATTATACTTCCTATTTTACTATATTGTTCGATGTGAACATACACTCGTGACTCATACATAGCCCATAGCCAGCAATTAATGTCCGGAACATTAGCCTCGTTCACATGAGACCTCGGATTTATGAAATACGGTATTTGCGAAATACCGAATCTGAGACAAATACGCGGCCGAGCGTTCACACGCTGATTCGAGGCTCCAGAAATACGGTATTTGCGAGCTGCGAGCTGCTTTAAACAATCAAGCAAACAATGCGAAATAAACAATGCAATGCGCACCAACTGCCGATAAAGTACGTAGACTGGTCCGCGCTCGACAGTTCGACTCGCGTTACACTGGAACTGTCGAGCGCGGACCAGTCTATAAAATACGCGGCTTCAGAAATCCGGTATTTCAGCGTTCACACGAGAAATGCGCGATCCGGTATTTCTCAAGCACGGCAAATTATTCGGGGTCTGGGAAGCCGCGTATTTACATCAAATACCGGATTTGTTTAGATACCGTATTTCTTGGACCGCGCATTTTGCCTCGTGTGAACGCTAAATACCGGATTTCTTGCTACGTGTGAACGCGGCTATTAGCTATAATATCAAATCGTCCAGGTTTTTTGGATTTTTAACTAGTTGAGAAACAATCCTATCAGGTAAGAATTTGACGATACGTTTAGTCCCGTTAGTTCTTACTTTTAATTGTTAAAAATTACAACAAACATTTTACAAATTTTACCATAGAAAATTCGTGACGTAGTCAATTTAACATTAAACAAGCTTCAAAGCTTTATGCAACATGTGATGCCAGTAGCATGCAATGCATTTCTTACACGCGTAGGCTATTTGGGAGAAAGGTTAGTCTCTCACGCTTTGCAATTCGCAGAGCTTCGATGAATTCCCGATTTCAAATGAAAGCTACTATCTTCAGAGTCTGCGTTCCCAGCCATACCAGCGGCAAAACTGGTAGAGGTTTTCTTCACGGTTCGTAATAAAAGTCAAGTAATTAACTTGTTATTACTGTAAATTTATATGCGCAGGCCAAATAGTGTAATGGTAAGAAGACTAATTCCGATGTGTATTTACGCTGAAACATTAATTATAGCTAAGCGTTGTTTATTTGAAAAACTGAAATGAAAAAAAGCTAATTAACACGATTTTGTTAAGGATATTCGTGATCATTGTGCGTGTGGCTGGTGCAATGCTTATCCGAGTTTTTTTGCATGTGAAAATGTAGGCACTTTGTCTGGCCGTCAGCGTTGCAAGATCATGTCTGTCTGATGGCATCAGGAGAGTGACAATGCCTTGTAGTAAAATAACATCAGGAGTAGATAATAGAAGACCATCTATTATTTACTCCTGATAACATGTCAAACAAAAATAAATTGCTTTTATTCACTCCTGACGTCTGCCTTTATTTGCTCCCGATGTTTAACTGTATTTTTGTATGATTAACTGTATTTAATGTATTTTTTAACTGATAACGTATGTTTGCTGAAGGGCCACGACGCCGCCTATTGCCATTTATCATTGCGAATCACGTCTCTTTAGGCAATCCCTGCCCTTCCCCCCGTCCATTAGTGCACGTCGATTGTTGTATATACAAAGCCCCCAACTCCCAGCTTTGTCTGTATGTATTATTTCTGCGTCACCGGTCGGTCAATTAACACTTGATGAATAATGAAAGCGCGCGAGCGGATGGAGCGTGACTACGCTCCGGGTCGGGCGGCCATGACGGTCATTCGATATTCCTCGCTTGAAAACACTGGCGCCCCCTATGCAGATGTTCCTCGGGGCTGTGTCGTCACGCGAACAGTGGCGCCATCTATGAAGACGTTCGCTTGTTGTACAGGTGAACACGAAGGACGTCGTCGACGTGTGGGAGGCGATCCTCACGCTGCTGGCGCCCTCTGTAACGACGTTCGCTTGTTGTACAGGTGAACACGAAGGACGTCGTCGACGTGTGGGAGGCGATCCTCACGCTGCTGGCGCCCTCTGTAACGACGCTCGCTTGTTTTACAGGTGAACACGAAGGGTGTCGTCGACGTGTGGGAGGCGATCCTCACGCTGATGTTCTTTCCGATCCTCGTCATCATCGCGTACGTCGCAGACCGCGACTTCTGCGGGAGAAAGGTTTCCGTGACGATGAGCGCGCTCGAGCTGGGAATCAGTAAGGCCTTCTTCTTTCTCTCTCTCTTTTTCTCTCGCTTTCTTTCTCTCTCTCTCTCTCTCTCTCTCTTTCTCTTTCTCTCTCTCTCTCTCTCTCTCTCTCTTTCTCTTTCTCTCTCTCTCTCTCTCTCTCTCTCTTTCTCTTTCTCTCTCTCTCTCTCTGCGCGACGCCGC